CAGCTCCTGCCAACCTAGCAGTTCAAAAGCAAGAAATTGCAAGTAGATAAATAGGTACCGCTTCGGTGGAAAGGTAACAGCGTTCCGTGCACCTTGGTGTTTAGTCATGCCGGCCACAGGACCACGGGAACGTCTTCGGACAGCGCTGGCTCTTCGGCTTGGAAACGGAGATGAGCACCGCAACCCTAGAGTCGGATCTGACTGGCTTTCGAGCAAGGGAAACCTTGACCTTGACCTAGACTGGAGATGAGCTGTCATCCCGGAGGATCCCCAGGTCTCACGCTGGCACGCCTAATTACAATGTTTGATTAATGTTTTAATTGGTTTTTATCTCGTTTCTGTTGTATGGATACTGTACATCGCCCAGAGGCCCTGCTGTGACATGGACTGATGGGTGATTCATAATAACAATCAACCATAAAATAATAATAACTGGTCTCCAGATGACAGAGGTCGTTTCCCCTGGAGAAAACGGCTGCTTTGGAGGGCGGACTCTGCCCACAGCCCTAAAATACCCAGGTGGTTCCCAACCTCTGGGCATAGAGTAGGGGCCACTGGAGGAATTGGGGGAAAGAAGCTGTGAAGTTCCTGCGTGGTGCGGGGTGGGGGTGTGGACTTAAGGTTGTCCGTTTCCTCCCTAGCCACCGGCAGGGGATGAAGGGTTAGGGTTGCCAGCTCCAGGTTGGGAAACTCCTGGAGATTTGGGGGGGGGGCTTGAAGAAGACAGGGACCCCAGTGACATACAATGCCATAGAGCCCACCCTCCAAAGCACCCATTTTCTCCAGAGGAACTGATCTCTGTAGTCTGGCGAGGAGGTAGAACAAAGTTTGAGTCCAGCGACGCCTTTAAGACCAACAAAGTTTAATCCTGGGTGTAAACTTGATGGGCTGTAATTCCAGGGGATCCCCAGGTCCCACCTGGAGAGTGGCATCTCTAGCTGGACCAGATGACCCTCAGGGTCCCTTCCAGCTCTATGTTTCTAACCCGGAATTGGCATCCGTATTTGAGAGAGGAGCTTGGAGCTGTGGTGGCTCAAGTGGTTAAGACGCTGAACTGCAGGCTGTGGAAGGTCGGTAGTTCAGCAGTTCGAGACCCGAGTGTGCCGCATGATGGAATGAGCTCCCATCTCTAGTTCCAGCTCCTGCCAACCTAGCAGTTCGAAAGCAAGAAATTGCAAGTAGATAAATAGGGACCACTTTGGTGGGAAGGTAACAGCGTTCCGTGCACCTTGGTGTTTAGTTATGCCGGCCACATGACCACGGAAACGTCTTCGGACAGCGCTGGCTCTTCGGCTTGGAAACGGAGATGAGCACCGCAACCCTAGAGTCGGATTCGACTGGCTTTCGAGCAAGGGAACCTTTACCTTTACCTAAAGAAGAGCTTGGATTGTATACCCTGCCTTTCACTACCTGAAGGAGTCTCAGAGCGGTTTACAGTCTCCTTTCCCTTCCCCTCCCCACAACAGGCAGACACCCGGTGAGGTAGGTGGGGCTGAGAGAGCTCTCTCAAGGACTGCTCCTTTGAGAACAGCTCTGAGCGAACTTGTGACTGACCCAAGGTCACACCAGCAGCTGCATGTGGAGGAGTGGGGAATGAGACCCGGTTCTCCCAGATTAGAGTCCGCGCTCCTAACCACGACACCAAACTAATCCCATTGAGTAATCCCACTGATTTCAAAGGGCTCAGAAAGGGTGCGTGCGTGTGACACCGTTTAGAATTGCACACTACATGGATGGCTACAATCCTGCTCACACTCCTGGAAGCTATCTCCAATAATCAAAGTCAGGCTTCCTTCTCCATAAACGCGCCTCGGATCTGACTGCGTTCCCTAAACCCCTTTGGTTAGTCCAGGCGAACACATCTGGAAACCCCTGACATTTAGCATCAGTAGATACAGATGGGGGGGAGAGAGAGAGAGAGAGAGAAAAATGGTTTGTTCGCGCTGGGAGGCCCGTGAGGTTGCGGGAAGCCGGCTTTCCGGAGGAGGCGCACTCGCGACTCTCTGCCGCCCTCTGCCGGCGCCTTTGGGCATCTCTCTCGCCCCTCCGGGATTGGCCAAGGCGCGGCGAGAGGGAGGCGCGGCTTCGCCGAAAGCCCCGCCCCTTTCCCCCACGCGCTCCAGGGGAGAGGGAAAACAGTGACGTCAGCGAGGCTGGAACGAAACGTTGCAACGTTCTATCCGGCCGTTCATTCATAAAAGCGAAGGCGCCGCCGCTCTGGGAGGAGCCACGTGCCTCGAGCCCGCCCCGCGTTGTGTAAGCGAGGCCTGGCGGGAGGAGGAAAACCACGCGGAGGGTGCTTTTGCTTTGCGGCTGGTGAGTAGCCGGGGGGGCTCATTCCTCCCCACGGGCTCCGCTGCTGGTCCGTGCAAGCGGGCAGGAAGGGTGGCCTGCCTTGTCAGGCTGTTGTGGGAGGCGAGGCTGGGATGAGAAGGAGAGAGATCTTTTTTTTTGTTATTGTTGCAAAAAACCTCAACGTTGTGTAACCTCCCGGTCCCCGGGGGAGGGGGGATCGCATCTTGCAGCACAACCAAACCGGGATTCTCTGGGGCACTTTGAAAACTCCCGCGATGTTCTTCGGGCCTTGGCGTTCGTGGGCGAGGGGCGCCTTCTTCCGACCCAAGTGAGTGGATCCTGCCCGCGGCAGAGCTCTCAGGGAGAGGAGGCGGAGGGGGGCAACCAAACAGGATGAGTCCCAGCCCGAAAGGCGACCCTCTGCCGTTCCGATCTAACCAAGAAAACACAAAATTGCCACCGACGTAGGCAGTCTATCAAGCGCCTACAAGATGCTTGTTTGGTGTAGTGGTTAGGAGCACGGAGTCTAAGCTGGGAGGACCAGGTCCGATTCCCACTCCTGCTGGTGTGACCTTGGGTCAGTCACAGGTTCTCTCAGAGCTGTTCTCTCTGGAGCAGTCCTCGAAAGAGTTCTCTCAGCCGCACCTACTTCCCAGAAGAAGAAGAGACTGGATTTATACCCTGCCCTTCACTACCCAAAGGAATAAGAAGAAGAGATTGGATTTATACCCCGCCCTTCATTACCCAAAGGAGTCTTAGAGCAGCTTACAAACTCCTTTCCCTTCCCCTCCCCTCCCCACAACAGACACCCTGTGAGGTGGGTGGGGCTGAGAGAGCTCTTGACAGAAACTGCTCTTTTTCAAGGACAGCTCTAACAGAGCTTGTGACTGGCCCGTGCAAAGGCCAGACGTGGAACTGCCACCTCCCTTCCGCCATCTTACCTGTGCCAGGGCAGAACGGCTGCTCTCCAGCCCCGCTGCGCAGCTATCGTACTGGGTTTTTTTCTCTTCGCAGGCCTGAGTTAACTCCTGGAAAGGGGGGGGGGGCAAAAGGGCGCGTGAGGCACAGCACAGTCCAGTCAATCCCACCCTCTCGCCTGTGGCGCCTGGTGCACAAAGGGGCCGGCAGAAACCACACGGATACCCCACGGCTGGGGTCCAGCTTCCGGGGAACCAGCCCCACGTGCGTACTGCGACACAGTTTGCATCCTCACCCACAGATGGACGACACTAGTAACTCGCTCAACACTGTGGCATGAATTTCTCCCAGGGTGTCTGTTGTGGGGAGGGGAGGGGAAGGAAAAGGAGATTGTATGGGTGGGCTATAGATCCAGTCTCTTCTTCTTCTCTTCTTAGTTGCAACTGACTTATGGCGACTCCTTAGGATTTTCAGGGCAAGAGATCAGCAGAGGTGGCTTTGCCCTTGCCTGCCCCTGGGTAGCGACCCTGGGCTTCCCGGGCGGTGATCCAGTCTAAACACTAACCAGGACTGACCCTCTTTTGCTTCTGAGATTTGACAATGGCAGCTGGCCACTGCCTGCCTCTGCCTCGCAACCCTGGGCTTCCTTGGAGGTCTCCCATCCAAGGACCAACCAGGACCAATCCTCCGTAGCTTCTGAGATCTGGTGAGATCGGGCTACCTAGGTTTGGGCCTTCATTCGTTAGCAATACAATATTCCCCCTTTCAGTCCCTTTTTGCAAAAACCAGGTTTTGGACCGGTCCCAACCAGTGTTCCCTCTAAGCTGAGTTCATGGGAGATGGCTCACAGTTTCTTAGCCTCCGGCTCACACATAAGAACATAAGAGAAGCCAATGTTGGATCAGGCCAAAGGCCCATCCAGTCTAACACTCTGTGTCACACAGTGGCCAGAAATACCAAGTGCCCTCAGGAGGTCCACCAGTGGGCAATGCTCCCTCTAAGCTGTGGAGTCTCATGAGCAACAATTCTACTTTGTGAGCTACGGGCATTAAAGTTGTGAGTGAGCAATTTGGCTACTGCATCAGTTAGTTCGCTCTGGAGCCCTCCTTCCTGGACCTCTGCTCCATATGTTTATCTAATCCCCTCTTGAAGCCGTCCATGCTTGTAGTGCGGTGAAGCATTTTTGTCTCGGCTCAGGGAGGGTGGGGCTCCAGAGCAAACTAATTGATGCCGGAGCCAAATCACTCTCGCTCACAACTTGAATGCCAGTCGCTCACAAAGTAGAATTTTTTGCTCACAAGACTCCACAGCTTAGAGGGAACGTTCATCCCAACCCCTACGCCTTGCTTGCAGAGCACTAGGTCAGGAGACCAACTGGGAACCGATTTCTGCCTCTCTTGTGAATATCCTCTGTTGGTGTACCAGCTCTCGGTTGGGAGATTCCTAGAGATTTTGTGCGTGGGATTAGGAGATGGGAGGGACCTCACCCTTCACTATCCAGGGGAGTCTCAGAGCGGCTTCCAAACGCCTTTCCCTTCCCCTCCCCACAACAGGCAACCTGTGAGGTAGGCGGGGCTGAGAGAGCTCTGACACAAACTGCTCTTTTTCAAGGACAAACTATACCAACCTCAGAAGGAGACAGGTTTGAAGAAGAGGAGGAGGAGGAGGAGGAGGAGGAGGAGATTGGATTTGTACCCCGCCCTTCTCTACCCAAAGGAGTCTCAGAGTGCCTCACAATCTCCTTTCCTTTCCCCTCCCCACAACAGACACCCGGTGAGGCAGGCGGGGCTGAGAGAGCTCTTGAGAAAAACCTCTCTTTTTCAAGAACAGCTCTTATCAGAACTACGGCTTGCCCAAGGACATCCAGCAGGTGCAAGTGGAGGAGTAGGGAATCAAACCCGGTTCTCCCAGATTAGAGTCTGCGCACTTAACCACGACACCAAACTATTGAAGAAGAGGAAGAAGAGAAGAGACTGGATTCATACCCTGCCCTTCACTACCCAAAGGTGTTTCAGGGCGGCTTACAATCTCCTTTCCCTTCCCCTCCCCACGACAGACACCCTTGTGAGGCAGGCGGGGCTGAGAGAGCTCTTGACAGAAACGGCTCTTAAGAGAACAGCTCTGAGAGAACTTGTGACTGACCCTGGAGGTTGGCAGCCATAGGCTTCTGGCTTGTTGATGTTGGACACAAATTGCTGGTCTCCAGGTCTCCTTCGGTCCAGCTGAGCAGGGCTGCTGCTCTGTTCTCCTTTTCCGTCTCCTTCCTGGTTTCAGTCTTCTCTTTGACGGTGCCGTTTTGTATTTCAGTTCCTCCTGGAGCCCGTGGTTGTCGAGTGCGCTTTCGGTGGGCCCTGGAGCGGGATCGGCCATGTCTCCGAAGAAGAGAAAGCGGGAGCCGCTCGGAGGAACGGAACTTGAAAACGATGCGGCGGATGATGGAGCGGAAGCTCCTGGCTTGACAGAGAATCCGGGGATCCCGGTTGTAGCTTCGCCTGCAGAGAAGACGATGGGAGGGGGCGCCAGGAGTGGTGGGATCGGGGCCCTGGCGGAGGCGGTGAAGCAGGCCCGGGCCAGAACGGCGTCTTCTGTTGCAGAGTTCAAGTACAACAAGAAGCGGGTCCGCTTGGTTTCTCAGGAGTCCGAGCTCGAGGAAGGGAGTCTGGGTATCCTCTATTGGATGTCCCGAGATCAGAGGGTGCAAGGTGAGAAACGACCTAGGGTGCAGGGAGCAATCTCTGTTGGGTCACGTCCTCTGTAACTGGGGCGTGCCGCACTGTGTTTTCTGTGCTCCTGACTGGAGGCAGGCCCAGAGCAGCGACTCACGTTGAGACACAGCGGGCACCCTCGTCTGCGGGCTGGTAATTCTGCAGTCTGCCTTTGACAGACTCCTAGATCAGTAAGGGAAGGGGAAATCATAGCATCCCAGAGTGTGAAGGGGCCATACAGGCCATCTACTCCAACCCCCTGCTGAGTGCAGGATCGGCCTAGGGCAGTGGTGGCGAACCTATGGCACGGGGGCCAGAGGTGGCACTCAGAGCCCTCTCTGCGGGCACGCGTGCCATCGCCCCAGCCAGGCCCAGACCATCATTAAAGTGTCGAATTCTCTGCCAAATAATTTTAAGTAAATGAAAGCATTTGGGATTTATTTATTTATTTATTTATTTATTTTATTGCTTTCCTTACTTTGTTTGTACCATCTTCAGTTAATGTATGGGTTGTTTTTTCTAAAGTAAAACCTCAGTGTTCAGGTTGAATTGCCAAGTTGGCACTTTGCGATCAATAAGTGGGTTTTGGGTCGCAGTTTGGGCACGCGGTCTCTGAAAGGTTCGCCATCACTGGCCTAGGGTATCCCTGACCAGTATTTGTTCAGACACTGCTTAACAAACACTATATGTTGCATCTATACATGGCTGGGTATAGAGGCAGGAAGACTCAGAAAGAAAAACAGGAAAATTGGGTGAAAAAAATGTTTCCCCCCCGTTTGATAGTTGGCTGGATTTTCTGGGCACAATCACACCGGAACATCTGGGAGGCGTAGCGCAGCCATGGCCAACCCGTGGCATGCCGCTGAAGATGCGCATTTAAAAGGTACCTGCAACAACCTACTGGCAAACGGTTTGCCCCGGGCTGCATACGGGCGGACTCCTGCGGTGTGATCGCGCCGGCGCGGGGCTAAACCCCCGGGTTGTCCTCTTTGCTGCGCGCACCGACGGAGGAAGCTCCAGTGTGCTGCCGTCGCGTCTGATCGCCTAATGGCGGATCAGAATGCAAAGGCGCACATGGCCACGCCCCCCCGGCGTTATCTGGCCCGTGCGACTGGTGCCTGAATCTACTTTTTAAATATTTATTATTTATTTATTTATTATTTGGATTTCTATCCCGCCCTCCCCGAAGGCTCAGGGCGGCTAACAGGGCATAATGCCAGATAAAACAAAAAAATATATAAAATGTTAAATTACAAATAAACAATTAATGAACAATTAAATAACATCATAAAACATTTTTGGTCCTCCCCTATTCAGTTTCCAATGTTAAGATTTTTAAGAGCAAGATGGTGTTCTCAGTGTCCTAGCTGGGCAACTAAATGATTTTTAAATCATATTTTTTGTCAGAAATGGAACAACGCGGTCGTGAAATGGAAAGAACGCCTGAACTATAAGGAACTTCTTTTGCCAGTTTAAAAGAGCATGGGGGCGGGGGGGGGGAAGCCCAATAAAAACTGGAAAAACGATCAAAAAAAAAAAACGAAAAAGAAGCCCAATAAAAACTGGAAAAACGATCAACACAACAAAACGAAGAACATTATTTTATCTCCCCTAATCCTCCTGCTCCTCCATAGTACAAACAGACATAAAAACACTCATTTCCACTTTTTAAAAATTCCATAATCCAGTTGTGGGCACTTGATTATTGCACGTTTGGCAGAGGTATTTTGGCATTTGGCACCCTGCTGTCTGTTGTGGAACATTTCCTTTATGCTTGGCTCCTCTTTTTCTCCCAGATAACTGGATTGGCATTTGGCACCCTGCTGTTGCAACCACCAGCTGCCTGTTTGTGGAATGTTTCCTTCATGCTTTTGGCTCCTCTTTTTCTCCCAGATAACTGGGCCTTTCTCTATGCCCAGCGCCTGGCCTTGAAGCAGAAGCTCCCGCTCCACGTCTGCTTCTGCCTGGTGCCCAAGTTCCTCGATGCCACCATCCGGCACTTTGGCTTCCTGCTCCATGGCCTGAAGGAAGTTGCTGAGGTACGGGTGTACAGGGACACTTTCGGGGGCGGGCAGGAAGGAACTGGTTGGCCACTGTGTGAGACAGGATGCTGGACTAGATGGACCATTGGTCTGACCCAGCAGGGCTCTTCTGATGTTCTTATGAAGGCCTCGGGCTCTCTGCCCCGTTGCTGGACCTCCAGAGGATCTGGTTGGCCACTGAGTGAGACAGGATGCTGGACCAGATGGACCCCTGGTCTGATCCAGCAGGGCTCTTCTGAGGTTCTCACGAAGGCTTCGGCCTCTATACCCTGTTGTTGGCCGTCCAGAGGAACTCATTGGCCACTGAGTGAGACAGGATGCTGGACTAGATGGACCCCCACTGGTCTGGTCCAGCAGGGCTCTTCTGATGTTCTTATGAAGGCCTCAGCCTCTCTGCCCTGTTGCTGGCCCTCCAGAGGAACTGGTTGGTCACTGGGTGAGACAGGAGGCTGGACTAGATGGACCCTCACTGGTCTGATCCAGCAGGGCTCTTCTGATGTTCTCATGAAGGCCTTGGCCTCTGTGCCCTGTTGTGGGAGACGGAATGCTGGACCAGATGGCCCCCCACTGGTCTCATCCAGCAGGGCTCTTCTTGTGTTCTTATGAAGGCCTCAGTCTCTATGCCCTGTTGTTGGCCCTCCAGAGGAACTGGCTGGCCCCTGTGTGCGACAGGAGGCTGGACTAGATGGACCACTAGTCTGATCCAGAAAAGCTCTTCTGATGTTCTCACAAAGGCCTTGGCCTCTCTGTCCTGTTGTTGGCCCTCCAGAGGAACTGGTTATATCCCCTGTGTGAGACACGATGCTGGACCAGATGGACCACTGGTCTGATCCAGCAGGGCTCTTACAATGTTCTCTGTCCCTTCTTAACAGAAACACCTCTCCCTTTCCCTTGCTTTCCAGGAGTGCCAGGAACTCAACATTCCCTTCCACCTGCTCACCGGACTCGCCAAAGATGTGCTGCCCCCCTTTGTGACGAAGCACAGCATTGGCGGGGTAGTGACCGATTTCGCACCTCTCCGTGTTCCCATGCAGTGGGTCCAAGATGTCCGGGAGAGACTGCCACCGAATGTGCCGTTTGTTCAGGTAGGGAGACCCCGGAACTCTGGCCGTGGCCGGGCTGGGGACCAGAACTGATGCAACTGTATGACCCATTTTTTTCTAAAACGGATCCACACTGAGCCAGTTTGGTGTAGTGGTTAAGTTGCGCGGACTCTAATCTGGGAGAACTGGGTTTGATTCCCCACTCCTCCACTTGCACCTGGCTGGATGACCTTGGGCAAGCCGTAGTTCTGATAAGAGCTGTTCTTGAAAAAGAGCATTTTCTGTCAAGAGCCCTCTCGGCCCTGCCTACCTCACAGGGTGTCTGTTGTGGGGAGGGGAAGGGAAAGGAGTTTGTGAGCCGCTCTGAGACTCCTTTAGGTAGTGAAGGGCGGGGTATCAATCCAATCTCTTCTTCTCACCACCCCTTGTTCATTGCTGTGTACATACCATCTGACGCGTTCACTCTGCACTTCATGCATCTAAAGGATCCCGAGACCTCACGTCACTTTAAATGTGTCAGCCTTAAAGTTGCCCCAAGACTCTGTGATGTGTTTGGTACCACCACAGACACAGGGGAAGTAATGATGAAGCTGTGTGCATGAAAAGCTAAGAGCGAGAGCAGTAAAACGGCAAAGAATGCTAATTATTGCTGGGGAAGATGAAAACAGTTTCCCTCTGTGAATAAAGCTCTAAGGAACAGGGGCCAGGTGAGCGTGGCACAGATGAGGTGCCACCCCGAAGGAGGCCCTGGCGGTATCAGCCACCCTTCTCGCCTTCCAAGAGAAGGGCTGCTGGCCTCTTGCTCGTCTGTGCTGCTAGAGACAGACGAACACGGCCGCCCACTTTGATCTGTCTCCATGGAAGGTGCCACATTGAGTCGTACAGAACGGAAATCCAGGTATCTAGAAGTGAGCCGTGACTCACGAAAGCTCCTCCCCTGCCACAAATTTTGTTAGTCTTGAAGAAGAAAAGATTGGATTTATACCCTGCCCTTCACTACCCAGAGGAGTCTCAGAGTGGCTGACAATCTCCTTTCCCTTCCCCTCCCCACAACAGACACCCTGGGAGGGAGGTGGGGCTGAGAGAGCTCTGACAGAAACTGCTCTTTTTCAAGGACAGCTCTTATCAGAACTACGACTTGCCCAAGGCCATCCAGCCAGGTGCAAGTGGAGGAGTGGGGAATCAAACCCGGTTCTCCCAGATTAGAGTCCGCGCACTTAACCACGACACCAAACTGTGTAAAATGCTTCTGGACTCTTGCTCTTTTCTACCAGCTTGGTAGTGGTTAAGTGCGCGGACTCTACTCTGGGAGAACCGGGTTTGATTCCCCACTCCTCCACTTGCACCTGGTTGGATGACCTTGGGCAAGCCGTAGTTCTGATAAGAACTGTTCTTGAAAAAAGGGCAGTTTCTGTCAAGAGCTCTCTCGGCCCCACCTACCTCACCGGGTGTCTGTTGTGGGGAGGGGAAGAGGAAGGAGTTTGTCGGCCGCTCTGAGACTCCCTTTGGGTGGTGAAGGGCGGGGTATAAATCCAATCTCTTCTTCTTCTTGTCTCCCAAAGAGCTGAGAGCCAGTTTGGTGCAGT